CATATTGGGGGCACTCAGTGATACTAGATTGCCACATTTAGTATTAGCTATTAATGTAGTAGGTAGTTGTGATAATTGTCATTCCATTTATCATTTACAAGAATTGAATAATAATATTAGTGATATTTATGTTGTGACCAATATATAGTCACTATATTGAATTTATTCAGAGATCTTTATTCATTTCATTTATAAAAATGTAAATCTCACTGGGCAGTAGAAAAATGCAATAAAATTATCAACTCGTGAACATATCTGGAATTAAAAATATTGTTATTTTTCTAACATGCAGTAATTCCTGTGCTTTTGAAAATAACATGTGTTTTGCTTTTCATTACAGGCAGGTCAGACAGCATTAATGTTGGCAGTAAGTCATGGTCGGCTTGATATGGTTAGATTATTGTTACTGGCTGGAGCTAATGTCAATATGCAAGATGAGGTAAATTGATTTGTTTAGAGAGTGGACTCTCTTTAGGATTGATATTTGGTCAGATTCAAGAAATTTGGAAAATGAAAAAGATGACTGAGACTATGGTTAGAGGTCAAACTTTTGGAAGTTGCTAACTTGCTATATACAATCAGAGGTTTATAAATTATAGTTTATTTTATATACACTGTGTGCTTTTTAAATTATTACACACCTGTGAATATCAATTGCCTATAATGATAATGAAAATGAAGTGGTGAGGTTTAGTAGTTATAATGTCTGTCATCGTCAGCGGTGGCAGTGGTGATGAAATTGACATATTGTTGTTACTACTTGTTGCCAGGATAACTGCCATAATCTTTCTAAAACTTTAAAACGTTATCAACAGTTCAAGTTCAGTGAGCTGGTTCATATGTTTTAATATACCGGGGTACAATTTTATAGTCATATTCTACTGTACTTCTAATAAACAATTGATTTCATAAATGATTTACCCCTGTGCATCTATACCTTATGACATATTTGGCTTGATCATGTTTAAATTTTACACACCCTGTCCATATCCATGCCCCTGTCCCTGTCTCTCCCCTTGCACCTGTCCCTGCCCTGTCCTGTCCTGTCCTGTCCTGTCCTGTCCTGTCCTGTCCTGT